TCCAAAAAATAAATTACCCTCTTTGTGCGCACTTCACCAGGTTGTTGGGTAGTACGATTTTCATCCTTTACCATGACTGGATTAGAAACAACTTCAACAACTACCTGATCACCGTAAACTTTCTTGAGGGCAGTGGCAAGCTTGAAATACATATTTGGCAATATGATAAAGATTAACTCGTCCGCATCGGAGAGAAGAAGCAATCGGTTACCTCATTCACAGCATTTCTGATATCCTCAACTGCTTTTTCCTTATTGCTGGCGTTCCCGTCAGAAAGACCACTGATCTTCATGCGATAAACATCAGCAGAATTAGCTACGTCGAATTTGGCCTTTCGAGCAGACACGGCATCAATAAGTCGATAAACATTCTGGAGCTCTTCTTGAAGAGCAATGATATCCGTTTTGATTTTATTGGAGGTCTTTAAATAGCTGATTAAAAAAGAAGAGATAGTGTACATCAATAATGAATGCGCCTGCCTTCTGCGTCATAGCTTCCTCAGCAATTGTAAAACCACTAACTCCTTTGCGATCCACTGTTGCAAATTCTCTTTCAGCGCCAAAAACACTCGCTAATTTTTCGTCTAGTCGCTTCCAGTCAGCAGTTCCCTGAAAAGGCGCAAACATGGTCTCCGCAACAAGTTCTAGAAGAAAATGAAAAGAGAAAAAGACATGCGAGTAAAAGACTCACTTCCCTAAGCTTATAAATGCCACTATTTCCCACATCGAGGCTCTCAATGCCATCTACTTCAATGATAGCAACAGCACGTGGACGAGTAAACAAGTCAGATTTCACTTGCAAACCTAAAAAGCTAGTATAGCAAACATGGAAAGCGAACAGATAAAGAGGGAACGTACGTCGATCCCCTATATCTTGTTAACCAGAAAAAGCAATTTTCATTTCGTGCTGTATGCGCGAAACCGCTATTTCTTGAACAGGCTTCGTTAGAATCAAAACTTGCTGACAAGGGAAGCCACATAGCTTTGATCGGTCTTTCGGAAAAAGACGCATATACCCAAAGTTAGATTGAAAGCAATTCCAGACTAGGGTGGGGGTTTTGGGATTTCACTGTTGCGCAAAAGTAGCC